CCTTGTTCATGTATTATATTTCATATTAAAACAATTCGACACTTCGTCAGATGCGGAAACGAATATTCCTCATTAATAAAATCATATGTTTTCTTGCAAGAACTACGATGCAGTCAGTAATTTTATTCGTAGTCTGCCCAATAATATTTAGTGTAATAACAGTAGAGTAGTTACAATAGTATCACTTTTCGACAAACTTATATAACCCAGTCTTTGTGTGACCTTTATGTAGGCTTCCGCCTTCAGACGAATCACGTATATATCGCTTCTTTAAGTTCTTAGGTTCATGAAAAATCGATGGATCCGTAGTACATTATTATTATTATCAGAAAAGGAATCCCACCGTAAATAGTGCTCGTTACAGTGAGATGCTTCCCGATAAGCTAGAGGCTGCTATTCGGAGCATATGCTAAAAAGTGCTGTCGAAACGTATTGCAACATTGCACGACAGTGTCCGTTCCGCATACTATTGCTCACACCATTGGAATTCTGCAGATACTCAGAGCAACTAGTCAAATAAGTCTGACTAATCGCTCGAGAAATTTCGTTGGGAATGCAAAAATTTAGACGAATATTTCACTCGACATAAACAACTGTTGTAAACACAACGGAACTCAGCGTCACAACTGAGAACAGCTGTTCCTACTTGCATACAAAAGATTGGTCAATGTATGCGTCGCGGGATTATGGAATAAGAAACCTCGGGTGCTTTTTTTACTCAACGTATATTTGCAACAAAGTTGCGCTTTTGCTCAAAATACTATTTTAAACGATTTAAAATCCGCTTCATATAAAAAAAAGGTATAGACGTGAAGACTGTTAACTTCGCAATAAAGTTTTCGGAAAAAAAACAGCAGAGTTTTTATGCAAATTAATTTCATACAACGCGTACACGTACAATACGGAAATACTTAAAATCGATAAGCAAAATTACGAACGTTTTCACTTTGTGACGTGTTAAAAACTAATAATAAACATACGAAGCACCCTCTTCAGAATAGGGGATGACTTGCCCAGTGAATTAACACATATGTAAGCTTTCTTTGTTGCTATGCTCATCGCTGAACACAATTCTAGTATTTTTTGATAGTTACAGCTTTGTTTTAAAGCGTAATATTTTATGAGAAATACGCCAAACAGTTACCTTCATGCAAATTTCAAGCTTGGTGGAAATCGAAGGACACACATGAAAAAGGTTTTTTAATCAAGGTAAAAACAAATGATAAGATAATCCATTGTCTCCATACAGTAAGATAGTATCGAAACGATAAAGTTACTCGCTTGAAACGAAACTGAAAATTACATTGGAGATCCTAATTTTTCGAACCATATTTTTCTGATTCAACCAGTACACAGAGTGTCCCGAAAATATCTTGTAATCCGAAAATAGGGGGTTCCTGAGGTCATTTGAAGTAACTTTTTCCTTAGCGAAAATACATTCCGCGGCTTCGTTTACGAGTTATTAACGAAAAACGGCGACCAATAAGAAGCGAGCTCGTCTAGCGCTAGGTGGTCGAGCCAATCAGTGGAACTGGGCTTCCACCGCTCATTGGCTCGGTTACCTTGCGCTCGCTGTGCGCGCCTCTTATTGGTCGGCGCTTTTCGTTAATAACTCGTAATCGAAGCCACGAATTGCATTTTCGCTAAGGAAAAAGTTACTTCAAATGGCCTCAGGAACCACTTACTTCCCACTTGTACAATACTTTTGGAATATCCTGTATACAAGGTACGTTGTATAACGATCATATCACATTTTCATTGTAGAGATAAGGGTGCCTTTATTATCTACACAGGAAACAAGGGTGTACTTATATCTACGTAGAGGTAATATATTTACATAAAAGTGAGGATGTTTTATATCTACGTAGAGGTAATATATTTACATAAAAATGAGGGTGTTTTATATCTACGTAGAGGTAATATATTTACATAAAATGAGGGTGTTTTATATCTACGTAGAGGTAATATATTGACATAAAAATGAGGGTGTTTTATATCTACGTAGAGGTAATATATTTACATAAAAATGAGGGTGTTTTATATGTACGTAGAGGAAATGGTGTATTTATACCAACCACACTCAGCCGTGTCCAAGCAATTTAAATTTGGCAAAAATACTTATTTGCGATTACATAGAATTACATTACAGACTAACACATACTGTAACAATATTTATACGTTCCGTCAAGTGGGTATTTCCTGTCGTGCCGTGTTTTCGAACAACTCGTAGAGAATCTCAGGCTTTCACTCACACCTGCAATACAGAAATTAAATAGAGAACAACTCGCTACGAGAACATATGTTTACCGCTGGAGAGTTTCCTCTCTAAACAACCACTCCTTCTCTCGTGCCACCGAGATTAACGTACCCCAAACAATAGAAAAATAACCAACTTTCAAATGGTTAACACGTTAACCACGCAAACCACAAATCATGCTTCCTACATTCATTAAACCGCATATGTGTGTATGTGTTACCATAAAGTATTTCACAATATCATCTTATCACGAACCTTGTCGATCGGAAAACACGTGAAAGACACGAATTAAACATCATTAATCTAAATGAATAAACATAATTAAACTTGAGCAGTTGTTCAAAAGTGTGAAAGCATATTTTAAATGAATAAATAAACCACTGAAACCACTGAAAGTCGGATCGCTTCTTTTAATAATTCGAATAAGTCGAAAATAATTTTTATAATTTTTA